GGCTGGGAGGGCTGGAGGAGCCCCACGCAGCCTTCAGGGACAGAGCCCAGCGGAGGATTTCCCCCAAACCAAGGGTCCCTTTTAACCATTCCTTGCCCCCCTCCCCCAGGCTCTGCCCCCTGAAGCCCCTCTTTGATGAGACTTGCAGTTCAACCACATCTGGAGGGGGGCACAGCATCTACAAGTCCAGCAAACCTGGTCCATCCCCCCCGCAAGCTGTGGCACAAAGGAACTAGTGGGAATTACATAGACTAAGGACAAAATGTGCTTCCATAGTGGGAACTAAGCATTGACCTCGATCGATTCAGCCACCTAGTGTCAACACATTTTGAAGCCGGTGTAAATGTAATTGGGAATGACCCGCACGTTAAGTACTTTTTATCTGTTTGAGCTGATTTTTTTTTTCATATTATCTGCATCAACCAGGCTACAAGCACAGTAGGTGACAGTAGGCAAGCCACTACTAATCAGTCTCAGTTTTTCATTTGCCATACAGAAACAAGTTGTTAGGGTTACTGAAATAAAGTATTTGTTCTGCTAGGATCACTCCAAATCAAGGTTTCTCAATCAGAGTTCCCCAGAACCCATGAGTTTTGCAAAAGGTCACTAGGGTCACCTCAGAGATTGCAAAAATGAACAATTTTTTGAGCTGTAGATATGGTATTATTTATGCAGAGCGTCCCTAAGACCTGGGCATTATTTCAAGGGCAAAAAGGTTGAGTAAGGCTGTTGTAAAAGTACAGCTAGCCCTCCATATTTGCTGGGGTTAGAGGCAATGAAACAATGAAAGTGGAAAAACCGCAAATATGAAAACACTATGTTTTAAGCTGAGGGAACACCTCTCTAGGAATTTCTAGGTCTTCCAATGCAACAACTTCAATATCTAGCAGAAGCTGACCACAGAACCCCAGTGGAGGGCCAAATGTATATGCCTAGAGAAGTATTTTCTTTAGTAATTGCTAAGTCTTCCAGCACAACTTCGTGGTCAATTTCCAACAGAGTTGAGCTGGAGGACCTAGAGATTCCTAGAGAGAATGTATTAATCAACTTTGCAAATAATCAAAGCCGCAAAAGTCAAAGCCCCAAATGTGGAGGGGTGACTGCATATCAGCGATCAGTATTATTATGGTCTCTTACATCAGATAAAATGGGTCTCCATAATGCTCCAAGGAAAAACCCTGTGTTCAAGAGCTTTGTCAAACTTAGACTGTAGGTACGCCAGGACCTGCTTGTAAGAGGACCAAGATTAAGCATCTCCATTCTTCTGCTTATGAGGAAACATCCTTATCAGTTGCTCAGGTTTCTGCTTGTCTTTTTCTGGTCCTCTGTCCAGATTAGAATGAAAAAGTAAGTTGTTTGTTGCTGGGGCAAGAATCAGAATTGTTGGGGAGGGCATGCCTAAATCTCTTTTATCACTCTTCAAGACAACCCTTTCAGGAATGGCCTGGCCTCCTGCTCCTGAGATGATTGTTTTGAGTTATCTAATCTCTTCCCTTCCTTTGGAATTTCATTTATTTATTTATTGAGATTTTATCTTCTCCCTTTTATCTGGGGCGTATGACTCCATTGATGACCTTAGGATTTGCCGTGCCACCCTTACTTTTTCTTTCTTTGTGCCTTTCATTTGGAGGGGCACTTTCTGTTAGTTTTTAGCATCTGCTGAGACGGCACATTGCAAGCAGGCAAGACTTTGGCAAGGCAGTGCAAATAAGGAGCCAAAAGGTGGTGTGGCTTTGGCCTCCTGCACTGCAGCTTCTTGCCCAAAAAACAGAAGCCGGGCTAGCAGAGATCCCTGTGTTGAGGCTTGATGCAGAGAGGGAATGACCCTTTGTGCAGAATTACAGGTCAGGGTGAAGAGGTATCCTCACTGCAAAGGAGGACAAGGCACTGGGAAATGGAGAACATTCAAGAAAAATGAAATACAAAACTAAAAACAGTCATATAAATATAAATGCGTGCTTCTTAGTCGTGCTCAGAATGGAAGATGTTTTGAAATTCCTCCTAGATATAAGGTTGAAGTGGAGGACATGGAAAAAGGAGGATACCTGGTCAGCCTGTTACAGGTGAGTGAGGACACCCTACCTATTTCTGAGCAGGATTTAGTATCCCTGGGGTCAGATACCCTCCTTTTCCAGGACATATCCTCCATTTCAACCTTCTGCCCAGGAAGAATTCCAAAATGCCCTCCATTTGGAGCATCACTAAAAAACTCCTTGAGTAACACCATGTTTGCTGTTCCCCTTGGAGAAATACTTGGCTGCCTGTCCTCACTACAAATAGAAGGATAGGATGGATCCTTCTAAAGTCCATTTTTTTAGGAGCAGCAGCAGACAAGACTTGCACCCAGAGCTCAGGGCACATTTGTTTCTGGGGGCGGGGAGGACCAGTCAATGGGCTGCTTGAGGACACAATGCAAATGCTGAAAGGTTCCCCCCCCCCTTAATTTTAGCACAGTGGATAAATGAAAGGAATAATTTAAATGCAGATTCAGTTAAGGGTTTGTGGCTAGTAAAATATGATTTTAAGTATTTGCCTTGTTTGGAGTTTTATAAGTACATTGCAAGCCAACAAAGACTAATTTAACAAAGACTATCGGTACATAATAAAATGCAGCTATATTACACATAGTTGTGAGTACATAATAAAATACAGCTATATTACATATTTTATTATGTATTGCATATAGCTGTATTTTATTATGTACTCAATTATTATGACATATAGCTATAGATATATATACATATATGTAATATATACATGTATTACATATATGCTAAATAATATTACAATATTATGTATAGCACTCTGCTGTGTTTCTCTGATGAACCTGTCTTCCTGGACTATATGACATATAGCTGTAAATGAACCGTATGTCATGGGGTTATATTTATATGAGTGTTTTTGGCTTTTATTTGGTAATGTCCGGCATTTTTCTTGAATGTCCTACATTTTGTGTGCCTCGTCCTCCTTTGTAGTGAAGGACATCTAGTTACCCTGAGTACAAAGAGCCCAAAGATGGTGTGGCATTGGTCTGTAGTCTCTCCCTACCCCCAAAAAAAGTCTGGGCTAGCAGAGACCCCCATTGAGAGGGAGTGACCTTTCCTTCGAACAGAGCTACAGGTGAGTGAGGAGATCCATCCTGTTTCCAGAGAGGATTTAGCATCCCTGGGACAAGGAGCCAAAAGGTGGCCCGGATTTGGCTTGCTGTGCTGCAGTCCCTCACCACTACCACCCAAAAAAAACCTAGGCTAGAGAGCCAGTGGTTTGAGCATTGGACTACAACTCAATTCCCTGCTTAGCCATGAAACCCACTTGGTAACCCTGGGCATGTCACACTCTCTCAGCCTCAAAGGATGACAAAATGGCAAACCCCCTTTGAAGTAACTTGCCAAGGAGACCCCATGATAGATTGGTTCATCTTAGGGTGGCCATAAATTGGAAAGGACTTGAAGGCACATGAGGATAATAACAACAACAGTAACAACAACAACAAACAACAACAACAGAGACCTCCTTTGAGATGGGGTGGGAAGAGAGTGAGGGAAGGATCCTTCCTCCAAGCAGAATTATAGGGGAGTGAAGAGTTGGTTGTTGTTGTTGTTGTGTAGCCTTCAAATCAAGACCCAACCTATTTCTGGAGAGGATTCAGTATCCCTGGGGTGAAGAGGGAAAGTAATAATAATAATAATAATAATAATAATAATAATAATAATAATATTTATACCCCGTCCCTCTGTTAAAACAATTGGGGTGGCTTACAACAATTAAAATTACAGCAAATACAAACCAAGCCCCAGGACCCTACCCTCCCTCCATTGAAAAAGTATTAAACTACACATAATAAAATTTAACATAAAATCTCAAGAATTTTTTTTTAAAAATAATTAAAACAAGTAGGGGAGCACAGTCCAAGCACAAGTTAGACTAGCCCAGGGTGACTAACCGCAAAGGCAGACAAGGCATTGCAAAATGTAGGACGTGACCAAATAAAAATTAAAAACACTAACATACTGTGTTTCCCCGAAAATAAGACATAACCATAAAATAAGCCGTAGCAGGATTTGTAAGCTTTGGGACAATATAAGCCATATCCTGAAAATAAGGCATAGGGCCATTCGGGAGCAGCAAAGAGTCGGTCTTTGAGTCGCACCTGCGGCTCTTTTCTGGGCTGCCCCTGCGGCTTAAAAGGTCGCAGCCCCAATCTTCGTCTTTGCCGCCCCCAAAAGGAGCGGCCCTTTGAGCCACTCTTTCAGGGGCGGCAAAGAGCCGGCCTTTGAGCCGCGGCGGCGGCGGCGGCAGCTCTTTTGCACCCTTTTAGCGCAGTGTATATTCCCGCTGCGCCAAGAGGGTGCCTTGATGCCACGCGGCATCAAATAAGACATCCCTTGAAAATAAGCCATAGTGCGTCTTCTTGAGGCCAAATAAATATAAGACAGTGTCTTATTTTCGGGGAAACACAGTAAGTGTAAATTCATGCTTCTTAGGGCCTTTACAAACTGCCAGAAATAGTGCAAATTGAGTCCACTTTTAGGGTTAGGGTTAGTGCTAGGGAATCATGGGACCTGTATTTTTTTAAGACATTGAGCCTTCTCTGTCAGAGAGCTCTGGTGCCACAATAAACTACAGTTCCCATGATTCCCTAACCCTAACCCTTAAAGTGGACTCAATTTGCACTATTTCTGGCAGTCTGCAAAGGCCCTCAGTCTTGCTCAAAATGGAGGACATTTTGAAATTCTTTCTGGACAGAAGGTTGAAATGTAGGACCTGATTTTGTAAGTGATCGGACATCCTCCTTTTCCAGAACATGTCCTCCATTTCAACCTCCTGTCCAGG